TTATTAAAAAAATATAATTTTGGTGTTGTTTTAGGCTCCACCTCATAGTGGTTCAACTTATTTTAATTACAAGGGTACCCATAGCATTGTTCTCCTAGCAATCGCAGATGCAAATTATTGTTTTACAGCAGTAGATATTGGAGCTGAAGGTAGAAGAAGTGACGGAGGCATTTTTGCGGAAAGTAAAATTGGACATCATCTCATCAATAATACATATAACTTACCTCCGCCGAGATCAATTGTAGAAAATGGTTCACAATTGCCGTTCGTTTTAGTGGGTGATGAAGCTTTCGCCTTAACATCTTTTATGATGCGACTTATCCACGTGCGAACGATTTAAATTTACGACAGAAAGTATTCAACTATCGACTTAGCCGAGCTCGTAGAATTGTGGAATGTGCTTTTGGCATTTTTACGGCACGTTGGAGAATTTTTCGACGACCTCTGTCGACAAATGTAAACAATGCAATTGCAATAGTAAAAGCAACAGTTTGTCTGCATAATTTTTTAATGCAAAAAGATCTCGCAGTTTTCGCTGAAAAAAGACAATATATGTCTTTATCACTTTCAGATCATGTAAATGTATATAATAGTGCTTTCCAAGCATTACATTGTTTTGATAATAATACAGAAAGAAATAATGTAATTCAAAGTGCAGTGAACATTCGAGATGCATTCAAAGAATTTTTTTGTACTGCTGGAGCCATAGAACAACAATGGGAGAAGGCATTACACAATGATTTTTAAAAATTAATTTATATATTATTTTATAATGTCTACAATATTTTTTTGTAAAACTAAGTATAATATACGATATAACAGATATTCTCTTAGTTATTTAATAGTCCCAATCTTTCCTCCGTTTCACGCAGTTTTATTAAGAACTTCAACTCTAACTGTGATCTTTCCCTGTAGGGAAGTCGACGCATTCCTTCTGCCAGTCGTAACATGAATCCATCAATAGGATTGGGTTGAACATTTGTGTTTAAGGTCTGTAAAAAAGCTCTATCTACTTCGTCGATGTTACTTGAATGTTGTCTTTCTGAAACCAAACGGTAGATTAAATTATTAAAAACTAATAATTATTAAAAACTAAACTCTAATATACTCATATTTTAATGTGTGTGTATATCTATTTCAAACACAAACTTCGTAAAGCTGAAGTCGCTACAGACAATTCAGAGATACTCGGTGATGGCGTTGAAGGTGGCCTGTTTTCTGAATCTGTGCAATCGTTGCTGTTATTCATAGGTGAATTTGAAAAGGAAGGTAAAGGAGCCGTTGAAGGTGGCCTGTTTTCTGAATCTGTGCAATCGTTGCTGTTATTCATAGGTGAATTTGAAAAGGAAGGTAAAGGAGCAAAAAGGTTATTCGTTACTTGAGCTGTCTTTCCTGTTTGGAAATCTTGAAGATGTACATGTTCTGAAAAAAATTAAAAATAAATTTAGTTGTTATTTGACATGTTATTTAACACGATATAACTTCAATATAACTCACTCTTTATATTCTAATGTATCATTAAGAAAATTCATTGCATCGTAATAGCGAAAAGATGGTTTATTTCTTTCATTTATAGAAGTACCTGCAGCACCACTTCTTTTTTCAATGCTTTGTATTTTCTTAAAATTTCTCCTAGCTTTTGTATAACAATCTCTTAAATATTGCCATTTTTTTCGGCGTCAATAGGTGAATATGCTCCTAAAATATTAATTTAAAAAACATGTTTATAAAAAGAATGTAATGATAATGTTGAATCATAAGTTTACCTCCTAGACAATTGCTGACTTCCTGCCATAGATCTTTTTTCTTTAACTTAGTTCTTTCTTGAAGTGGTAGACGAGGATCATACAAGGCTGGTCGTTGTTGAACTATACTTATCAGCTCTTCATCTACTTCTTGTGGTTCTGAAGCATTATTTTCATTCTCTGTTACATCATTTAGGCTTTCATCCCCTGTTGTCTCCATCAAATTGATATCTAAACAATAAGAATGAAAACTCACTTATTGATCGTAACGAAAATTTCGTACTGTTTCGTACATTGCGTAAAAATATTATATATAATACTACATAAATACTACATACAAAATGTTTCATACCTGTCATAACAATTTTTCCAGCCTCATCCACGCTAAAAACCTGACATGCAGCGTCGAAAAGACCAAAACAAGAATGTTTCAAAATATTATCCATTTTCAGCAACCATCTGCAGTAACCACATTTTGCTGTCTAATAATAAATAAATGACATTACAAAATATAATGTATTTTTATTATATATTGTCTTTAACAAATTGAAACCACTATAAGCATATTGTATATGTATGTTGGGCTAGAAATGTATGCTAGACTGTCAATATATATCAACATTATAACCTAATATAACATAACTTAACATACATATCTCATAATTACAATACTTACAGCAGATGACATCATATTCCCCTTTTTCCGATCAAAATAAATACAACTTATCACCACTCTTTAACCACCAGTGACCGCCAGATATTTGAATTACGTACATGCACGTGCACATGTATGAATTCCGTTCCGAAAAATGATCGCCATGGGGAACCCAGATGTGAAGACACGCAACGGAATCATTCTGATTGGTTAGCTCCCTACCATCCCACCTTTCCGATTCCGTTTTCCGATAATTCCGACGTCCATGGGACAGCACCCTTAATCTCATGAATCCGTTTCCTAGTTTTTTTTCTGCAAAAAGTTATATACAGGATGTCCCAAATGTAACCGATAAATTGCGGGAGCATATTCTAGTCGAGAGAAGAAAAAAATGTTATATGAAGTTTGGCTAGAAATCCTTTATTACAAAGTGTTCAGGATTGCAAGCACCGCGATCAATTACCGCGATCGATACCGCTACCGCCATCCCTGAACCGCCCCTTGAACAAGGCGACTTCCCCGCGTTATCCCTGACCGCTCGGTCTCTCACGTAGCGCTATCGATCCGGACACGCGAGGATTCCGTGATCCTGCGAAACGCGCCGATTGGCCCAGTTCATTGTCGCGTCACCGAATGCTCCGGAAACGGGCCCGCGAGAGCGCTGGTCCCTTCAGTAGAAGCTTATCGAACGACTCAAGCGGTACTCCAGCTAGTTTGCCACCGTAGTTAGTAAAGCTCTACTCCGGTTCACGCGGATTTACGCCCCGTCGTGTATCTGTGCCGCAATTATCGCGCCGCCAGTGCATTTTCGTGCAAGGGTCTCGACGGCACTCGCAACCGCGCCGTTTACGCGCGATCGCTCCCGCTCTCACGGTGCGGCGACGAACACTTACGCCTCTGAGCGTCAGCATCTTCACCCTCGCAGCAAGCGAGGAGTGAATGTTACCTAAACTCAAGTGCGCGTCTCCGCGTGACAGATTTGCGCTCCAAGTGCGCTCGCCGCCGTGCGTACTCGCACGCTTTAAACACGTGCCCGTCGCACATACTAGCCGCGCCTCAAACTGTAAAGGCCACCGGCTACCTGTATATATTTAATAAAACTGTGCTGTACACCATCGAGAGAGAAAAACAATATCCGCTCATTTTCCGCACTCCGGATCCCTGTCGGGGTCGACCGGCCTGCCTTGCTCCAATTGGCGAACCGGAGTTACGCCCGGCCAAGAATCTCGCCAACACAAAGTTATAAAAAAGGATTAAACATGAAATAGAACATGAAATAGGCAACAACGGATTTTCCATTGCGCAGCATTTCTAATTAAACCTTGCAACCGCACCCTTCAGCGCAGCCACGGGAGCCAAACGCACCATCTACCGTGCGCATCACGGTGGACCCATGGGTCCTCGTGGAGAGAGTACCGGAGCCGGCGATGACCGGGCCAGCTGAGAACGAGCCCGACGAGACCGCCAAGTAGGCGACCGGAGGTAACGACCGGCCGTCGGAGATAACGACCGTGATAGCGACACGCGACAATAAGTTTGACGCGAGAAATTACATGTATATTATCGATGAGACACCGCGGTCAGCGTTAAAATTAAGATTATGGGAAAAATAAAGATTTCAATGGTGATGGGTTAATAGTATAAGTATTAGTATTCTAAGTATGCGCGTAGTAATTAAGCGAAATAATTTGCGACGATAATGCATCGAAGGGGTCGCGAACAGGATGAACACGCGTCCCGCGAGTCGATGGGAGAACTGGTTCGAGAAAATGCGAGCGCGGAGATCCCGTGTCGGAATTCGCGAAACCACAGCAGTCAGGCGCAAATCAGATGACCATGAGGTCCGCGGAACGATAACTTCACTGACCTGAGAACTAGCGAACCGAGACCGGTTGACGGGAATTGGCAACGCGAACGCATTGAAAAAGTCGCGAACAAGACAACCAAGAAGTCCGCGAGGCGATCGGAGCACCGGCTCAGGAACTAGCAAACCAAGACACTTCCACAGGAAATTGCGGCGCGAATACGTAAAGGGGAACCCGAATAGGACGACCATGAAGTTCGCGAAGTGATAGGATCACCAGGTCCGGAATACGCGAGCCGGAGCATTTCCCCAGGAAGTAGCAACGGGAATGCGTTAAAGGGAGCCTAAACAACACAGGCACATGGTCCGCGACAAAGTCCGATCGCGGAAACGGAAACTAGCAAGTCCATCGTTGTCTATCGGCGATCCATCGAAGGCAGGAACCTGAAACATAAAAGAATGGTTAATACTGATATTGTAGTCTAATATTAGAGGTGAAACCGAGTGGCGACCGGACAGTAGATCAACATATTTCGAATCCGAGCCGTCACTTAGCCGTGTCCGGTTACAACCTAACCAAACTTCATATAAATTACATTTACCTATTTCCATTACGTTCCTCATCTTCCATTAACGCTAACAATAACAATTTATCTTCGTCCGAAGAATACGTGTCTTTCATGTTGCAAAACAAGTAAAAGTATCTACTGATTTGCCGCGTAAATACCGCTTTGGTTTGACTGAATAGGCGATATCCCGCTACTGCACTATTACCGCTACCGCTACGGCTACCGCATACCGCGTTGGTTTGAGGAGACCTTAACTGACGGAACGCGGTATTTACGCGCCGAAAGATACTTGGTGCGGTATGACAAGCAAGACGGGACGCGGTAATACGCGTCGCGTCGCGGTGGTACGGTAGGAACGGCCGGTCAAGTGCAGGAGGTCGGGATTTCGATGGCGAGAGAACTCGCTACGAGGCCAAACGTGCTCGACCCCGCTTAGCCGTTTGCCAACGGGAGTTTGGTTGACGGATGTCGGGGACAACCGAGAGCTCTCGGTCGAGGCACAGAGCGCTGGATTTCGTTGGTGTGTCGCCCTAGGACTTAGGTAGCTTCGTTGGGAACAGCGGAACGTTGGTGCGGAGACGAAGTGTCTTTTTTCGCCAGAACGCCGGTTTTTATATCCCGGCGCGGCGGGTTTGATGGAAGGGAGGCCGATCCTCAGGCGGGCCGCGTAGTGATACGGGTACGTACGCTCGTCTTCGGCGCGGATCGGCTCCCGTCGAGACTCGGCGGGCTCGCGCAAGGGGAGGTACCGGTGCCGCGTTTTTGCTCGCGCACACGATACTTTGGAATAATGTAAAATAGGTGGACGCACCGCGCTTTATCCTCGCCCGACGGAGGATCGGTCGGGCGGCATCCGGCGGGTGTTTGCCAGGGAACGATGCGTTGTCGAAAGGGGTGCATCGGTACATAATAATGACTGGTTTTGGTAATTTTAGATTTTAGGAAGCCAATGAATCAAAAGTAACAACGGGATTAATGAGAAGAAGATAGTATGAACAGTAGTTTATGACATTGAAATAACTGGAATGTTGAGGATAACGCTAGAGTTCTAAGATAAAGTGTAGCTTAAGTTTATTTGAATAAAGTAAATTGATATATTATATTATATAATTTTATATGTTATCGCCAAAGATTAGTGTACTGTAACCTAGATTAAGAGTTTAAATATTGCCATATGTATAGTTTTAATAGTAGTAAACGACGTTATGGGACCATGCCTGAGTTATAAAGAATACTATAGAGTTAAACTCGGGAGGGAGAGCTGGATTATTTAAGTTTTGCGCCATTTATTGTAAGCTCGCTTGCCTCCGGTATTCTTCTGTTATATACCGGGTCTACTAGTGCCGCGTTTCAGGGCGCGCCCACCGAACGATGGGAGCGCGCGGGTCCGCGGATTCGCGCGTCAACCTATCTTGCGAGGATGCCATTCGTGGCAGACGAATTTGCTCCAACACGCCGTGTGGTTACCCTGACGAGTGGTTCGTCCTGGCCATTTTAGAGCTGTATAGCTCACAGGCCAATAAAGAAGAAGAAGAAGAAGATGTATCGGGGCTCCGCTGTCTCGTGTGAGTAGAGTTCAGTTGGTTGCTGGCAAACGAGGTGTACGGATCGAAGTGTGTGATCAATAAGCAAACTATATAAAAGACGAATATAAGGTTTTGGCCCTTGTACTCCTTCCATAAAACAATAACGTCAACATCTCTATTCACTCTTCTGAAGGAAAAAGTTCCATTGCCACAGCTTCAGAACGTACGACGTATTTGCCATTCGCTGCACCTATGTAGTTCAAAAGCATCGAAGGTATTGCCTTCATCTCTCGAGTTTTTTGTGCAAGAAACGAGAAACTGGTTCGCGAATAGTCCGTTGAGACGTGCTCACTATGCAAATTTGTTCAACTTGATCAATGATAATAACAAAGTGCTTCTTAATCTCATACAGTTATCTGCAACCCAATGGCTAGCGTGGGAAGAAGCAGTAAAGCGAATATTGTATCAATGGGTGGAACTAAAAACGCATTTTAAATAGCCGCAGGAAAAGAAAAATGCTATACCGCAAAAACATTGTGCAGCATGTACAAGAACCCGGCAAATCACCTGTATCTAATCTTCTTAAAATCGATTTTGTATTAAGTTAACGAAGCATGTTACGTCCGCCCCACCACAAATCCCAGAATCCCGTCGTCAAAAAGAGTCTCGAGCGAATTACCGGACGCTCCTCGAGAGCCGGAATTACAAGTTAATTCCCATAACGAAGCCCGAGCAACCCCATCTTTTATCGCTGAACCTGATTGCGAAACTCAGAGAAGACGATCCCCGTCGGGCCAGATTTCTGCAACGCCGTGCCGAAATCTTGCACCAGTATTACGGAGGCGCAACGCCTGAGCACTGGGGCACAGAGAACCATCCTCTAGAGCTTGATTGACCACAAGGTAAGTACCAATTAC